TTTAATGGATGCTCCTCGACATTTTAACCAACGCTTCAGCTCAGTAATAGTTGCAACTTCAAAAGAGTTTTGAAAAAAGCACCTGGAACTTCTGTTTATCAAAGTTTATGCTCATTTTAGGAACTACTTCACAAAACTATGAAGATCCATGAGCGACGAGAAAAACGTAAACAAGTACTCAGTCTCCCAGGATACATTGCGCGCTCAAAATCCAAGATGTCTGCCGCGCACATTGGCTATTACCTGATATCTATGACGTCATTGTGACGTCATATAGAACAGGGGTCAATTAAAAAATACAAAAATATTATTTTCGAGTCATTTCAATAATAAACAGATGATATTGCAGCATTCTCTATGGAATTGTAGGCAATTTATTAAAATGAATTATAAATCGTTAAAATGGTGAAAATGACGTCATTATGACGTCACATTTGGTTCCCACGGGTCAAGACTGGGTGTGGTGGTTCATTTTATGTGGGCGACCATTGTGTGAAAATTTCATGCTCATAGACGTATTGGTTCCGAAGATATTGAGAGGGGGCCGAATGAGCCCAGTCTGAATAGGGTTAATGCTCCTGCCTTTGGCGGTCGTTATACCCCCAGATCCAAAATATGTGTCGCGGTCCCTGACATGTGGCGTATGTGTACTAGCCAAAACGTCCACGCTACGGCGCCTGTCTAGGATTATTAGTCAATAAATTAAAGCATTTCCATGCAGACAAGGGTTTTGTAAGGACTCTCTATTAGCAACAGCTTTGTCAGTTAATAAAGCGTTTCTAGACAATGGATTTAATTTTTAGGCTAGGGACTCTGTAGCAACTGTTTTGTTTCTAAATGTGTCATTAAAATGACAGAAAGCAAGGGCCATTTTTGTGCCCGTTGCTTTTGTAAATCATAGAAATCATTCCTTCATTGATTCTCCATTGGTTTACATGTTCACAATAACTCATTTAATCCATAGAAAAAGAGGTCATGACTACCCCTAGTCAAAGCTACAAGACAACGAAATTGGAAGTAACTACAAGTGCACCGTCGCCAGTAAATATTAATCCACAAGGTGGAGCGGGAAGTTCGGGGTCAGCATCGTATAAGTCTTGCAGAGAAATCCAGAACTCAAAACCTGGTTCTCCATCCGGGATCTACCGAATTGAGATCGATCATCAAAACATCTTCGAAGTCTTCTGCGACATGGTCACCGACGGAGGGGGCTGGACTCTAGTCTACAGCTATTCATTTACAAATCCGTCTCATTTCAACGATCCGTCTAATGCCGTAACGCCTATCCCGACATGGCCAGTATCTAGGTCATTGACAATGACTCCAACGTCGACCAAAGTCCCACTGAAAGAGACCGCC